GACTTATGGAGATTTCATTTCTTTAACTTATTTGGAATCGCTATGACCAGCAGCAAACTGAGTCAGTAACTCAGTTATTACTCAACGAAAATAAGTTGTTACTATCCAAACTTTGGTGAGAACCAACTGTATTGTTTTTGGAACTCTGAATACAAATAGAGGTTCATTGGATTATAATGCGTTATTTATTAATGTATGAATTGAATAATGAATTTAAAGGAAAACATTGAACACTAATCTTCACTACTTTGGTGTGTGGTTTGATAAGTGAGTTACAATATAACTATGGTGGTGTAGTAGGTAGCTCTCTTGCCATAAAAGAGGTTCCGTGTTTGATTCCTGGCTCGGGGTCTTTCTGCATGAGGTTTGATGTTCATGTTCTTCCTGTGCATGCCTGGGTTCTCTCTGGCTTCCTCCCACAGTCCAAAAAAAAAAAACAACTAATAGGTTAATTGGCTCCTCTAAATTGTCCGTAGGTGTGAGTGTGTATAGTTCTGTCATTGTGTGTCTCTGTGTTGCCCTGCGACCTGTCCAGGGTGGACCCCTCCTCATGCCGATAGACTGCCGGAGATAGGCACCGGCTCCACCTTGACCCTGACAAGGACTAAACAGGAAAAAATTGATGGATTTTTGCCAATTGAAAGCCTTTTAATTGGCTATAAAATAGATATGAAGCAGAAAAATAATGCTTTTCCAATAATTTGAAAAGTGAAAACATACTTTGCAAAACAATTAACAGGTGTTGCACTATTCCGGAAAGACGCAAGCAGGACTGTATGATCCCAGGATTTTTGCATGAAAAAACATAAACCGTAAAGTAAAATCATTAAAGCCCTGATAAAGTAAAGAACGTGTGTCGATTAAAGGCAGCAGTCATCCGTCAGTGTTAAGTCGATGCACAGAGATTCTTTAAATCACAGCTTCTAACCAACGTTGATATGGTATTTGTTCCTGCACATATACATCCACATTCCTACAAATGAGCAAATCAATGAAAGTTTTAGCCTTTAGGGAATGCTTTCCAGCAGGAAAGCTGTCATTTTCTCTCCACTCTGTTTACGGCATGCTGTAGTTGCACTGCAGGGTTGGGTGCACCAGGAAGCTGTAGTCCTTATTTATACCCGCTACGCACAGCAATGACTAATGCCTTATGGACTTTCACAAATTAATACGTTACATTCATAGTTTCTCAAAAATCAACAAAGTTATTATAATGCATTCCTTAATAATGCTAGTCCCAGCGCTGAAAATGGACTACTACAATAAAATTCAGTGGCTGAAAACTGAATGCAAGAGCATCAGTCCCTCCTAGAACAAAACAGAGCTCCAGATTGCTTCCTCCATCCCCACAATAAAGAGTTGGGCGTTCGTAGTTCTGGGTTAAAATTAGAGTTCCTGTTTATTCAGGCTTATATGTTAAAAGCCTGTTGATTCAGGTCAGGTGTGAGGGGGCAGGAGGACCAGGGTTAAATAACCCTGCCTTAAAACCGTCCACATGTGCCTCCATTTACCTCCACCAGAAGCTTTCAAAGCCTTGATATTGTCGATTGGGCTTTTAAAAGCTTTAAGAACAAACATTCAGAGACAGAGACTAATGTTGGACGTAAAAAAAAAGCTAATTATGACCGTAAAGATCTATTTTATGGGCTACGGATTTATTACAAACAAAATAATATCTATTTTTTAACCTGCTCATTTATTAAATTGTTAAAAACACCTCTAGGTGTTTTGTTTAGTACCTAGAAGTGTTAATAAAGTAGGTTTGTGAAGCAGATCACTGCTTCTTGCCCGTAAAGTCTGCGTGAAGCTCTGCTTTACTACATGCAAGTAGTAAAGCAACCAGTAATCACTGCGGAAAAGAGTGTTAAAGTATCTGAATAATCTTGTGAATAATGTTTAATTCGTTTTTTATTTTCTAATCCCATTAGATATTTTCTCTGAACTGATAAACATTCCCTTAGTGCAGCATGGTGGATGCCTTTAGTGACTCCAACGGATGGGAATAAGATCTACTTTCTGATTTAATCCATCGATGATACGACTTTACAATTTATCAGAGTGGTGGTTTGGTGTAAAAAACAGGAAAATCACAACAAAGCAAAATCTATTTGCTCTGTCCGGATCCAGAAGAGGGTGATTCATTTTTAAAGGAAAAGTCCGGTCAGAAAGGAATAATCAATGGATCTTTATTTATACCTAAAACTAATATGTTCGCGGGGATTTAATACATTTTACGTTAATCAGTAAAAAAATAAAAACATTAATTTTTGTCGCGATCACTGAGTCTGGGAGCGGCCATTTTTTGCCCAAATATAGTAACACCTCACTCCTGTCATCTTCCTGCAGTGACGTCACGGTGCGGTAAGCCTAGCGCCATTCTCCCCGCTTTATAAGCTAAATCAATGGGAACTACTAGACACATCTGCAATCAACAACAATTATTGAAGATTTCCAGAGGACTTCAACATTGGAATTCACCAGAATTATAGTGAAATTGACAATGCCCATGTGCATGGCAGCTGGATGTTGGAATACATTGGGTAAAAGTGAAAAAAAAAAAAATATTTCTATATTTTACACCTTTCTGATTCCTGATCCTCCACAGACGGGTTCGTCGTTGGATTGCCAACTTGAAGAGGGAGGATTTGCCATCGAACTTCTGGCCAGAGAAAAAACACGTAATATGTAGCCAACATTTGGAAGAAGAATGTTTTCAAGATGACTTGGATAATAGCGCGTTGTGACAAACACCAGATACAGCACTGGGACTTGATCAACAGCCGATACCGCACCGTGACGTCACAAACCAGTAGGTGGCAGTAGTGTTCTTTGACAAACATGTTTGCCTCCAGTAAAGCACATTCAGATGAAAATTACTCTTAATTAAAAACACTGATCATTTATTGAACAGTATGTAATAATTATATATTAGAAGTCTGAATTTTGAATAAGACCAGACTTCTCCTTTAACCCTCCTAATTCTATCCAAACATTACGCGAAACAGGGATGCATCATAATTGACTGGTTGATTTGATGTTTCACAAAATTCTTGACTTTATATAAAGAACAGACAGTTTGAAAAAAAGCTTTATACTATAGGAATAAAGAAGCATGGTGATGAATTTCCTTTTAATTGAAAGCGACAGTGAATACAAGAGCAAGGAGTATAGACAAGGCACAGGGTAAAAATACAAGGGCTGGACGTCGAACTAAAAATAGCTCAATAATTGTTATGATTGAACAGGAATATCACCACTCAAGATTGTCACAGCAGTCCCATTTAAAACCTCCCCCAAACCCTAAAAACCAGATAGATTTAGATTTAGCTCCCTCATTAAGCCATTCATAATTAATGTGCAAGTAATTAAGTCCTTCTAGTACTTATTAAGATGACGTTTAATTTTAATTACATTAAATCTTTAGTCTTAAACATGGGCTCATTCTGAATATCTTGATGCCTGCAGCAGTGTCACTGGTGTATGCAGAGAATAACAGGCTTACCTTGTCTTCCTGGTCACTCTCAGTGTCACACTGCAAAACAAAAAAGACAGACAAGGACAAGGAATTAGGAGAAACACTTTCAGGTCCCTCGTTCATCTGCAATCTGTGGGAGATTTTAACTTAAAATCTGCAAACCTTTTGCATATTCAGAGCCTCAATCAACAAATATGATCAGATCAGTTCATTAGAGCAGACAAGAACTTATTAGCAGTGAGCAGCTGTGGTCTTGTTAACACTGAAACCTGTGCAGGAATCAGACGGAGCTGGAAATTCAAACGACTGTATTTCCATGACGAGAGTTACCGCTCGAGGCCGGGAATGGCACAGTGACAGGAGGAGGAAGGAACTTTGTAATGGAGGGAAGAAAAAAAAAAAGTGGCTGGATTTCATTTTTCGTTCCAATTTCAATTTCAAGGTCCACTTAATTCTTTATCAACTAATTAGCGCGATGCTGGGTGACTGGCGGCCCTCAACGCTGTGCATATGGCTGAGGCGCACAGAAGCACTGGAGTCGGTAATGAAGAAGGCACTGGGGGGGATTGTGGGTAGGGGTTGGCACAGTGTGTGGGTAGGAGTGACGGGGGTAGTTGGGTGGCGATTAAAGCAGGAGTGAAGGAAGGCGGGGAGATGATTGACAGCCTAGGGAGTAAGCAACAGAAGGCCCTGCCTGTTATTTTTTTCCCCCTTTATCTCCCTTAACTCAAAGGTAGCTGGCTAGCTCTGAGGCTGATCCGTTTCTCAGGCTGGAAGGTGTAAAAAAAAAAAGGGGGGGGTGGAGGTGGCTGCGAGCTCAGCAGGAGCATTGCATCCAATTTACAGGCCTGTCCCACACGGCCCCAGGGGCCGCCCGCGGCACGCTGCCATGATGGTCAGCTCCAGCAGCTCATAAATTATGCAGAGGCAATAAACGCGGCGGGCAAACACTCCTCAGACGTTCTCCTGCTCCATTTCTGTCTCACTCTTTCACTATTGCCCTCAGCATTCCTCCCACATTTTAAAGAGGTATGCAGAGGACCTGCAGCCTGCGCCTGTCACAACTGACCCGGGAAATGTGGATAATGACGGATAAGTGCAGATCATCATTACATGTTAGCAGGGTCGTCACAAGACCAAAAAAAAAAAAACTGTTGATAAATGTAATAAGAATAAATTGTGATAATGGTTTCAGTTCCTTTTTTTATATATGGATCAAAGTTTCAACACGAGTCTGGAGATGTTTTTATTTTCATTCTTAAAAGCAGATGTCAGTAACATTGCTGGTGTTAAGACTATAAAAAGCAGAAGAGGTATCATCTGTTAAATACATGTTTATGACTTAAATTTCAAATCTCACTGTTTTGCCTGAAATCTTATTATTCATTAATTTATTCATTCATTGATTCATCCAGTTGCTTAGTAGTCGGTAGACACATTTCTCAATTGTAACCCTGCATATTCAGAACCGGCCCGTTTAAAGTGTGTTTCTGTTGATCTTCTTTCAGGGATCAACCAGTCAGCTGGGTGGGATGCTACAATTCAAGCTAATCTCTGGTTTGTTAGCTTCAGGCTGGATGTTCAAAAACTGTAATGAGACAGAACTCTCTGGTTCAACCCATTTTTTTTAAATATAAATTATTAAACGTGAACTTCTGAGCTAAGCCAGTGTTTTTCCAACCCTGGTCTTCAAGGCACCTTGCTCTGCGTGTTTTGGATGTTTCTGAGTTTCAGCACAACTGATTCAGATAATTGTAGCTCAGCAAAGCCTGATAATCTGCTATCAACTGATAACAGGTGTTGAAGCTGGGAAACATCTAAAACATGCAGGGCAGTGTGCCTTGAGGACCAGGGTTGAAAAACACTGAGCTAAGCAACGTTTCATATGGGTAAGAGTTGACACTGTCACTACCCGATCCGTCCCGGAAGCACGATCTGTCCTGTGCATGTGCGGACAGAATAATTTTGGTTAGGCAACACTCAGTTTTTCTTACTGTTTTATTCTTTTGGGGAGTTCCATTTGAATATTTTTGTATTTGTGTAAGTATTGCATATTCTAAAAAACACGAAAAAATCAATACACTTAAATTGTCATGGTTTTGGTTCTGTTCAGGTTTTATCTCTCAGTTTTCATTGGTCTCATTTCCATTTTTGTGTTTCAGGTTTTTCTTGTTTGCCCTCTGCTGCCCTCTTGTGTCAGTCTACTTTTCCCTACCTCCCTTCTAGACTCCTCTGTTCACACCTGCTCCCAATCTGCTATTTAGCCTGGACTTTGTTACTCCCTCCCATACATTCTCCTCCTGTTCAGTCACTCTTTGCTGGTTTGTCGTCATTTCTTTGCCCCGTTGTTGTGAGTATTCCTGGTTTTCAATGTTTTTGGATTTGAAGATTTATGTTTTTGGATTTTTGCTTCTGTTACCCTTTTTGTTTAATTACATCTTGCAATAAACCACCTCAGCTTCAGTCTCTGCATTTGGGTCCTGTCAAACCTCCACCCATTGAACGTTACTGTGACTGCTCTGAGCATTTCTGATGATGGAGAGAAAGTACAACGTATCAATTTCTTCTAGAAAAGTTTTCAATATTTTCTATATAACGTAGTTTAGCATTCTTTAATTTTTTAAGTATTTTCAGTACCAATTATTGAATAGTTTTTCAGCGATACAGATTTTATTATTCTGTATGCACAGGACGGGTAGTGACACACACGACAGAATCAACCTACAGCAGGTTAGCCAGGAAGCTAACATCTAAATATGGCCATGCTAGCTCCGCCTTTCACCATGCAGATAAGGCAGCCTTTCCCACCTTATTTATTTACTTAGATGCCTCAGATTTGGTAAAACACTTTATGCTGCTTAACTTTGTAGCCACCACTTCATTAGCACACCATGCTAAACCAAGTGATATACCGCTGTATATATTATATATATATATTTATTCGGCGAAGACTCACAGGTGAAAAAATAGCAAAGTAAAAGCTTAGAAGAGGAGCTGCATCTCTTTTCCTTTGGACACTGATGTTCCAGTAAATATATAACCACCATTAGATGAGGGTAATAGTTCTGGTTTATAAATTACAGTTCTGGCTTTTTAATAACAATATCCTTCTAAATCAGATCAAATTGAACTTTGTCTCAGGTTAAAACCAGAAGGCACCGTGTTACTGTTTTACTTGGTAAAGCAGAAAAAAACCTACAACTTTATCAGGGCTCCATAGACTGGAACAACTGAAGTCTAAGCTAATTTTCTTAAACAATCTAAAGGTATTGTCGATGATTTTTTAAAAGACCTTCCCTCCTCACTAAGGAAAACAAAATGAGCATGTGAGAGCATGCACAAGCCCATTTTTCCTTGTGCACACCCTGTTTAAAATGTGATGTTCTCATACCTCATACAAGCTTACTGTGTCCACATACAGCGGGGACTATATAGTGGACTTTATAGTGAACTCAGTTAATTGACCGTTCAGACAGATGATCACTGCTTTTTACTCCCCGTTGGTCATGTGAACCCCCCTGGAGGAGGGTTCACGTGAACCCCCCTGGAGGAGGGTTCACGTGAGCTGCGCCATCTTTGTTATTAGTTGCCGTTGTCGGGTATTCTGGCATATATCTGCCTCTTCTGAGGCCTTTCTTTTCTTCTCATACATTTTGTAGACAGGTTTTCTCTTACGACCCTCTGCCATTTTCCAAGAACCACAGTGAGAAAGGTAGCTTCAATGAAACTGTAGCTCACCACTCATATATACCTGAAAGTGCACATACTCAGAAAAATATAGCTAACTTTTTTGCTACGTGCACGTAGGAGGTATCACCAGAATGATTGACAATTAGGAGGACGATTTATTTAGAAAGAAAAGATCGTCCTCTATACCTTTAATTTTTACTTGATATAACCAGATTAACTTTCTTATTTTAAGTGCATAATATCTAGGGATCTTAATTTAAGGGCACAAAATACTAATTCCACTAGAAGATCATCCCATTTACCTGCTCAAATCAAGGGCAAATAACTTTATTTTTAGAAATGTGTGCTTATTTTTAGATCAGTTTAGTAATGCATGCAAAAATCCTTCTTTTTTACCACTTTTGGTAGGTAACGCATTCCCTTTGTCTTTGCTTTCTCACATAAAGATGTCTGCAAAGTGTTTATGGATGTAGCCACCATGTTGTGATTAATATCTCCAAGCACTGTTTTTGCTTTTTATTTATCTATCATTGTTCTTGCTAAGCGCTTGGTATCTGTAGCTGCATTGCTGCTGTGTAAAATTATGTCAAGACAAAAACGGCTGTTTATACTGCTAAAAAAGGAAATCGAAATAAGTCATTTTTTCTTAAAATACGTGCAGTTTTTCCTGAATCGCGGTAAGTGAGACACCAATAGACTATGTACATTAAAAAAGAGAGAAACAATGTAATTGTCTTATTTCGAGTGCACAATATCTAATTATCTTATTTATTGAATTTGGCAAATCATCTAATTTACCTACTCAAATTAAGGGTAAATACACTTAATGTTTTACTTTTTTCTGTTTTAAGCAGTGTAGACATTTTTATGCAAGTAAGTGCATAACCAGCGTATTAAACTTTTTAAATAACCTTAAAAAAGGCACAGCAGTGATGCATCTTTTGATGCATCTGTTGATGTTTGTGTGCTCTCTATATTGCCTCCCATGCAGGGCTAACTAATACAGCAGCAGTCAAGACTAATTGGCATCAGATATTCATGAATGTGACATCAGTAGTGTGACAATGCACTCATTAGCTGCTTCTTTTTCCTGCACGGCACACACCAAGGAACGCCAGTGAGCAAAGGCTTTAATAACGGACATCATTTTAGTTTCTTCCACTGTGTTGTGATCCACAAAAAAACATGTCTGCTGTTTTTTTTTCATTGTGTTATTTTTCCTTTTCTCTGCTCTCTCGCTGTGCAGCCAATTGCTTTGATTGCCGAGATAGAAGCCGGCTGGAATGACTTGCCCTTGCTTGTGAAGCAAATGGAACATGCTAATGGAACTCATCGTATTACCCGATGCAAAAGTGCCATAGCTCATT